TTGGAAAGGTGACTGCAGGGCGTGCTGGGGCAGGCGGGGGACTGCACACAGGGAGACCCGTCTAGAGGCTGTTACAAAACTCCAGTAATTAGGGTGGGGTATTAGCAACAAATGCTCATTGACTGCTCTAAAATGAGCATTTGGACAGGCTGTATGGGGTGGGCAGCAGTCTTTTAAAAAATGACCACCAGGGGCAGAGGGAACCGTGTCTCCACGGGCCTCCAGGAGACTGAGACGCACCCCATGCCAATGTGCCTGCCTCTCTCCTGCGCTCCAGCCACAGTTCTTCCATGTCACGTGCCCTGCTTAACACCTGCAGTGTCAAGACTCAAGAGGTGAGGCACTAGAAGTAATGGCATTAAAGCACTTGTCAGTGCGAGACCCGAGCACGCCTGGCTGCCTGCTCCCGGCTGGAAGAAGGTCTGACCTCACAGCGCCTGATCAAGGAGCGTCCGCCCTCCAGTCCGGCCATCCGGAATGGCAGCCACTTCTGAAAGGGGCGTGCACGCGTCTCCCTAAAAGGACAGCTCCACGGAGGCGGGAAAGGCCATGGAGTCGAGCTCCTCCTGTCACTGGATTTCTCCTCCTTTCACTTCCTGTTGTCACCAAAGCCCGTAAGGAAAGCATGCCACCACCTTTCTTCTCTCCATCGCCAGTCACCACTGATTCGTGCCAGTGTTTTCCCCCCAAACTTCCTCTGATACTCACAACTGCCCTCTGAGAATGGGGTAAATCCAAAAGCCTCACCACTGCACAGACGAGGAAACAGGCCTAGAGCCCAGGCAGCTTACTCGGGGTCACCTGGATACTCAGGGTGCACCCTGACCCGTTAACTCATGACCTTAAAGACTCCCAACAATTTACTGCCTGTCCAGGTTCTCACTGCCACCTGCTGGGACCACAGCCCTCAAGAACACAGGGCTGAGGTCTCCTGGTCACAGCTTAGAAAGTCTAATGTGGAGTGCTCTATCCTCAGAGTTTGGGGAGAGTGGGTTTACTGGTTTATTAACTAGTACTTAATGTCAGCTTGTAAACCAGGCACTGCGTTAGGGTCTGGGGGTAGAGATGAGCATTACTACATTCTGCAGGTGCGTAGAGGCCAGGCAGCCCGTCGGTGCTAATATTACAAAGTTATAGCGCACAATTCATAGGCAGGGCTTTAGGCCAACCCCTGCCCAGTGATACACACGGAGATGTGGTGGCAGAGCTGAGAAGTAGGCAGGTCAGCGAGGCAGGGATAAAAATGTGGGTGAAGACGTATTAAACCACTTTAAAATGCCTGATGCATATTATCTCCTCTACATGCAACTTATATGGTCAGAAAGAGGAAAAAAATCCACTTGGATGAAGGATAATCATTTCCAGCCTGGGGCAAATCTCCTAAAGGGTTTTGTTCTGAACTAGGAGTGTTATTTTAGCTTCCAGTCAACAGTAATTAAGAGTCCCAGTACATTCCAAAAAGAAGGGAGAGGGAGATTAACGATAATTAAATCTCGTATTTGGCTCCGGTCTCTCCTCGGAGTGGCCTGCTGTCAGACGCTCACTCCAAAGCCTCCATCCGACTAAACTCCTACTGGCAGCATCTGTAACATCCATTCTGTGCTCACTTGAAGGTTTCAATTACAGGAGAGGTAATGGGCCCAGGAGGACCTGGAAGCCTGGAGCTTCCCAAGCGCAGCTCATACCTCGTCTCCTACAAGGCATCTAGGATCTGGCCAGCAACCGCTTGCAAAGAGACCCATTTTGAGGGGTGGAGGAGCACAGGGCTGGCCAGCCCCTGCAAAGGCACAACCGCCAGTCCCATGGTGAGGCCCCTCACAGGCAGGCTCTGTGTGCGATGTGACTGACGGGGTCTCTAATGAACCTTAATTGTGAGCTCAACAGGCCCAGGAAGGCAGCCACAGATGTGGCAAAGGGCAGCTGCAACCCGTCTGATTAGTGAATAAAAAGTGTCCGGCCCAATGAGGGCCAGTGACCCAAAAGAGGAGGAAGGCAGAACCACTCTTCACCCTGCACCCCTTCCAAAGCTCTGAAACTCCTTTATGTAAGCAATGCAAAGCCCCTGGGTGCACTGGAACCCCCTCCCCCCTACATGGCGCTGCTGCTGGTGGTGGCAGCTGGGATGCCAGGGTCATGTTTTTTTGTTTTTTTTTTACCATGAACGCTTCCATTTCCATCAGCATTTCATCTCTAACGATGGGAGGCCAAAACAGGATGCCCTTCCAACGTGGGAAGGGGAAAGCTACCCTCTACGAAGACCGAGTAACTTCTTGCTGGCACTAATAATGACGACGATATCTGCATTCAGAGTCAGCCGTCCGCTGGTGACCTGCAGTGACAAGGAGAAAGCTATTCCTGGAGCAGCTGTGGGCACAGACAGCGTGGCGGGAGAAGGTGGGCTTCAGAGTCAGATGGGCCTGGAGTGGCTCCCGACCCTGCTACTGACTAATTAGCTGTGAGACTCTGACCAACCCAGGAACCTATCTCAGTTTCCTCATCTGTAAAATGGGGATAGAAGACTAACTTTGTGCTGTGCAGTTTAAAAAGCTAAGTATGCAAAGGGTCCAGAACAGTACCCGGCACAGTCATCTACTGGAAACCAGGAGACTAGCAGGGTGTTTGTGCAAGTCTGCTGTGACCGCAGAACCCCAGAGACAGCCACTACAAAGCCAGGTCCTATGCTGTGAGCTTTACATCCATGAGCTCCAATTCTGCAATTAGTGTCACCACTCCCATTTCACAGATGAGGAAGCCAAGGCTCAGCAGCTGAGATACTCACACAGCTGAGATGTGGTGAAGGTGACAGCTATGCTGGGTCAGGCCTTTGATTTTAAGGTGCTCAACCATCAACTCCAATGCTCCTAGGTAGACTTTTCAGGCACCCAATCTCAAGACTAACAGCCTAGAATGACACAGCCAAGAATTCTATAGAACCTTAATTCCCAAGTTTACAAAAACAAACTTTTTTGGCCTGGCAAATAATGGAGTGGTGGTGGGCATTAAATAACCAACCATCTGTTTCCAAGGAAATGTACAGAACAAAATAGCACTCTGCTTCTAGCCTTGGTTCGCTCCTGGGTAGTAGCACCCAGCAGGCATTTTCTGCATCAGGGTCTTGAACAGGCAGTAGCGGGTCAGGTGCTAAAACAGTGTCTCCACCAGGAAAGACAGACTCAGGAGAGGACCAGAGGAAAGAGAGCCAGGAAGAGAGGACCATTACCAGGTGACTGTGAAAGACCCTCAGATGTGGACTTAGGGACTCTCAAGCTGGGGGAAGGGTGCTGGGTTACACTGGCAGTGTGTGGGGGAGCCTATAGCTGCAGGTTCCAAGAGTGGAGCAGTCTCGACAAGTTGGAAGTGTAGACTGCAGGGAGGCAAAGGGGATGCAGAAGATCCAGACGTCACACTGGCTGGCACCACTGACAGCCAAGGGGGGTCAGCTGGCTTGTCCCTGCATGCTGAGATCAATCTCAGCCTCCTCCCTACCTCCTCGGACTGTCCGGCCACTTACTCAGTCTAGCTTCCCCCATGGCTTCCAAATAGCTTCCCAGTGATAACTGGGGCAGTTCTGCATTCAGGGAACTGAGATGGGGAGAGAAGTGCCTGCCAGGCCATCGGGAAGAGGACTGGGAAAGACCAGGTGGTCCAGGAGTCCACCCCGCCAGGGCAGAGGATGGAGCTGGTGTCAGGAATGAAAACCTATCACAGCCACAGCCTAGACTCTGACCTCCCTGACTGGCTTCCCGTTGGGGAGCCTCACCTACACTGTTTTCATGATCATCTAAAATGCCTCAATGGAGGGTCTTCTAATCTCCTCCCTCAGTTAAATAAGCTGATTGCAAGTTAATAAGCTTGCGATAACCCTTGCAAACATGCCCTGGGTTATAAAATGCCCACCATGGAAGCCAAGGCTAGGACTGTGTTCATCTGTGAGGACACAGCCTGGAAGGCTGCTTGGGGTGTCGGGGCACAGCTTCCAGGCTGGGGGATCCCAGGGGCGAGCCAACAGGGCCTGGGAAGCCAATGCAGGTAGTAAAACCATCAGGGGCATCCACTGAGCGCCTGCCTGCTGTGCACGTGTTAGCACCATGCATGCATCCCGGAATCCTCACAACTGTCCCGTGAATTCAGTTTTCATGTCCCTAGCTTGCAGATGGGAGGGAATTCTATGAGGCAAAGTGCCCGACCCAAGTTCTCAAAGTAGGAAGGTGACCCTGCCAGGATTCAGGTCCCAGCCAGCCTTCTCTGCCCACTCCAGTGGGAGGGAGACCGGGCCTCTGCCTGCTCTGTTCTCTCCGCGTATATACCACATGGGGCAAGTTACGTGGTCACAGACCTGAGAGGAACTGATGCCTCTTTTCCCAGCAAAAAGGGATCCTGAAAGCAGTGACATCAACAGAAGGGTATCCATGGCGATGTTCTTTTAGTTCTAGGCAACAGAACTCAGGTTCGGAGAGATCACCAGGCCCAGACTTCAGGGAGAAGGAGCCTGAGACTCAGAGCCCTGCCACTCCCACGACAAGTTAGTGGCAGACCCAAAGCTACGACCAGCTCCCTGACTTCCGACAACATCTGCCAAAACACCGCCTTCACGCACACACACAGTGCTTTCTTCCCACCTGCCTTGCCCCTCCTATTCGAGAAGCCATAAGTTTTCTGAAGCAGTTCTCTACTTGGAAAAAAAAAACAAAAAACAACATTCAAAGAAAGCTATTTTTCCTTCTACCCCACTATGAAAATAAAAAACTTGGCTAATCTCCCACAGGCCCACTATCATAAAGGGTCTAGAACCTAGGTCATCTGATGTGTAGGTTAAGAATCTCTCCAGGAAACCAATGTTTCCCAAAGTGGATTCCGTGAAAACGGGATGGAGAAAAATGCTGGGTTAAAGGAAAACAGGTTCTTTCTTTAACTGCAGGACTTCTCAGAACCTTTAATATGCCAATATGGGTAGTAAAGCTCCTAGTGGGTAATTACATGCACTAGATTTTCCCAGTCACTCGTGGCCCTTATCCCTTAAGACCCTCAATGCCAGGGTGAGGGGATCCGCTTCATTAGAGTCAGGAAACGGGCAGGTCACACGGTTCATCCATGGAGCAGGTTCGTTCATGAAGGAGACTTTCCCAACCATCCTACTTGGTTTATTCTGCATTCCTGACTGCCAGTGAGGACAAAGGTTTTTGTGTATTAGACATTTGTGCTTCTTCCTCTGCGAATCACCTGTGTAGCCAGCTCTGTGTTCTAACAAACTATTCCTACTTTTCTTACTGATGGAGGCAACGTCACGTGGTGGTTTAGAGCCCCGAGGCAGACTGCTCGGGTTCAAAGCTTGGCTGTGGTGGTGGCCCCGGACAACATGCAGAAGCCCCTACTTCTTCATCATTCCACCAGGGACAGCGGTGACTGCCTCCAGGCGTGTTCCAGTACGGTAACTTCCTTACCGAAGGGTGCAAATGTTTTTCAGAGTGTGTTCTTCGCCTTTTCATTTTATTTAGTGTAAACTTTTGAGTTAAATTTGCCTGTAGTCAAAGCTATCATTTTGATTGTCTTACGCACCTTATAAATGCCTCCCCCATCTCAAGATCAAATACCAATGTTTTCTCTCTGCGTCTTTCATGTTCGTTTAATAGTTAACTCTTTTAGTCCATGAGAAATATGACAATATGCTGTGTAATACAGATTCAGTTTGTTTTCCTTCAAAATTATTAGCCATTTCAATACATTTATTGATCAATTACCTTCTCATGATTATTAATGTCACTTGTCATTATTCTAAGTTCTTACACTGCCAGGTTATAATGGAGCTTTCTGGCTCCGTGGCTCTCTGCTGCCCAGTCCAGAGCGCTGTAGTTGTCTTCACACACAGCACACTTGCCTCTTAAGAAGCGTATTCCTAGGAGGTATGTCCTTTTGCTGTTACAAAGGGGATCTTGTCTCCCCCCAATCCCGCCCCAGCATCTTATGTATTCTAACTGATATGTGCTGGGGTATAGGTTGATTTTGGCACATTTAATTTAAAGCCAGTTAGCTTACTGAATCATCCTAGCAGTGCACTGTTTTTTCTAAAATTTTTAATTTGTTTTAACTGAAAGAATAATGACATACTACTCATATTTGGGCAGAATACTTTTTCAAAAGCATCTTCCCCACAAACATGCACAATGCAAAGTGTAACATGGGGGAACTGGGGGTGGCTGGAGTAGGCGGCTTCACCTCCTCACTGCTGTTCCAACGGAGCCCACAGCTCCCCAGGGCCAGGCCGGTCCCTCTGCCTGCCAACCTTGGACCCAGCCCCGGATGCACAGGGCACTGCACACCAGCAGGGGCAGGAAGACAAGTGTAAAAAGTCTTTTCCCCCCCGAGGTACTTAAGAGTTCTGTGATGACTATTCTTCTGCTGCCCTCATCACAAATTTTCTTTATATATTCACTTTAAAAGATGATTTAACTTTAGCAGGACACGTAAGAAGTGACACACTGTAACATTTTCATTTTTAAGACAGTAATTCAGGGGAAAATGCTGATTGGGATCAACAGCTGGGTTTGACTCCTTCCCCCCAATTCCCACATCAGGCATCAGGGAGTGAGACTCTAGGAAATCACTGCCCTTCTCCATTCCTCAGTTTCCCCATCTAGGAAAGGGGGTCCCACCACTTGCTTTACAGAGTGGCTATGAAGATAAACAAGGCTGTGGATAGATAAAGTGCATTAATAACAAGGCCAGTATATTAGTACTTCTGACAGCTGATAGAGCACCATTAAAATTATTTATTTTTTCATATAATTAATTGAAAAATATTTTATGGGCAATGAAATAAGGGAGAATCAAATTCTTAATCTGAGATGAAACAAAAAATAATTTTTATTTTGAAATTTGTAATCTCTGAAAAATCACAAACGCATACTAAATGGCTGTCTTGAAAGTGACAGGAGACAGCAAACTTTCAAAACACCTGACTTTGGGCTGCACATGGTAGTTCATGCCTGTAATCCCAGCACTTTGGGAGGCTGAGGTGGGAGTACCGACTGAGGCCAGGAGTTTGAGACCAGTCTGGGTAATGTAAGACCCCTGTCTCTACAATAAATAGAAAAATTACCTGGGTGTGGCGACACGAACCTGTAGTTCCACCTACTCAGGAGGCTGAGGCAGGAGGATCACTCGAGCCCAGAAGTTTGGGGCTGCAGTGAGCTGTGATGATGCTATTGCATTCCACCCAGGACAACACAGCAGGACCCTATCTCTAAAAACACTGAAAACAAAACAAAACAAAAAAACCAACCTGGCTTTGGAGAATTTCAAGCCCCTAGACATCAGAGGAAACTTACTATTACTGTTCCAGGACTGCTCAGGACTGGTGAATATATCATTAGTCTCCTGGAAATAGTCTTTGCTCCCCAAGGAACACACACACAAAAGAAAGCCAATGGCCCTTGTACTCTTGTCTTTTGTTCATGAAGTTTCAAATTTTAATTGTCTGGACTGCCTTTGCAAGAGGCAATTCATCTTATTCTTAACTGGATCAAATGCAAGACTATTATTCTGCTGTAACAGAACTTATCAGAATTTCAAATCACTTCTGGCCATATTTGTGAGGGGGCAGGTCAGGTGAAGGAACCTCAGGATGCCCCACTTCCTCTCTGTAAGCAAGTCATGCTATTTCCTCCTAGTTGAGAAGGGCTGCCTCGCTGCCACCTAGACACAACCAGAGGCTGCACCATTAAGTGACAGGGACCTCCTGTGGACAACAGGTTGGGGTCTCAAAGGGCCACCATCCTCTGGAGAGGCAGACCTGCGTGGCAGACAGAGGGCCAGTCGGCACCTAAAGTGCACGGTCTGCTTCCTTGCTCGCCCCTACTTCAGCCAGGACAGCTGCAGCCCATTCTCAGAGCAAAGGCGCATGAAAAGGCTCACCACAACTTTCCAAGGAATGGAGTTCATTAAAATACTGCTGGAGGCTTTTGGCTGGAATGCTTTTTCCCCTTGTAAAAACGGGAACTGAAGCACAGTGTCGCCTGTAGGAAAGCTCGGAATAAGCTCAGAAACATCAGGAACGACAGAGACTGTGCAGGGTTTGTTGCGTATTACCAATGACTCCACCCATTCCCTCCCCCCTCCTGCTCCAGAGACAACATCCCGCCCAGCAGAGGAAGGACGGGAGAGTGGAAGCCTAATTCATCCACCCCCGAGGTAAACTCACGGAGAACTTCCCTAGGCACTGGAGCACGGGCTCCAGAGCAAGCCAAGACTCAGTGTGGTGCCAGCCCCCATGCATCTGTGGCGAGCATCTCAGAGTTGAGCCTTGGAGCTCCCCTCCTGGGTGCTGGGGCCCAGGCAGCAGGGAGACTGGAAGGCCTAGTCTTGAAGCCCAGCTGAACCTCCAACTAAAGGCCCAGAGCACCAGCATGCCAGGGTGGCACGGCAAAGCCCCAGGAAGACAAGGCCCACCTTCCAGAGCATCATCTGGACTCAAGACTTTGGTGGAGAAACCACTGCTTTTATATTAAAATGTCTAGCATGTGGACATATTAGAGACTGGAATAAACTTTAAAAAAATTTTTTTTTATTTTTTAGTGATGAGCTCTTGCTATGTTGCCCAGGCTGGGCTTAAGTGATTTTCCCAACTCTGCCTCCCAAGTAGCTGAGACTACAGGCATGCAATACCATACCCAGCTGGAATACAATTTTTAGAAAAGGTAAAAGATAAAATTTTCTCCTCAAGGCAGGCAATTCTGGATTTGTCCCCGAAAATTCCAAAGATACGTATTTGCACTTCTCTATTGTGAGGATTACTTTGGGGAAAGAATCTGAGAAGCACCAAGGCACGTGTCACTAAGACACCAGTTAAAAGGCGGTTAGCAATGAGTCAGAGGAGTGGGCAAAAACTTACTGATAGCTGGGCCCCACCATTAAAGAGCCTATAACACCTCTATGTATAAGTAAAAATAAATAAGCACACCTGCTATGTGTCCTATTCAAGAGACAGGTGTGCAAAGCTGACCATGGCCAAGTCCTCCTTCCAGAAATGCCCTCCTGACTGTCAGCTCCATAGAGCAGGGCCTCTTACCTTTTCCACTACTGCAGTCTCAGCACCTAGAGCAGTGTCTGACACATGAACATTAAATACTTGTAGAACGAATAATTTCGTTCTGTAGCTACCACTCATCCTCAGAGCTTATTAACTGACAAAGGGCCAAGGCCAACGGCCTGAGAGAATCCAAGGGAGGTCATTCTTTTCAGGGATCAAGTTGTAGAACCCCTGCATTTTTACCTGCAAAAGGGGAGCCAAGGACGAAAGGCTGCAGTTCTGCCCATAGCTGAACACACTGCCTGACTCTCAGCGGTGCCCGGGAAATGTCGACTGAGTCCACTGCGTTTGCACCTGCTCAGGCTGAGACCCCTTCAGAAAGGGGAAGGCATTTTAAATGTCGTCTTTGAAATAAAGGAGGAAAAGATGCTGGTCTGAGACTGTTTTAAATGGCGATGATGAAGGGGAAACTAGGGAAGAAGAAACACAAGCCTGTTTACTCTGCAATACAGATAGGGCAGATCGAGTATGGCCTGGCTGGGGGACACAGGGAGCGTCTCGGGTCCCAGGCCCAGCAGGCCTTCATCACCTGGGGACAAAGATGAGCTCTGTTTCATTCTGCACAGCTGACACTGGGGATTTAACCTCCACATTTCATTGCTTTACCTATTAAAGACAGAAAACTGAGTAACACTGCTTAGCAGGCATCAGATATTCTGCTAATCAACAATATTTATGAACTATTAAATATAGTATTAGCTTTAATTTCACCAGTCAGTTACAAACGTATGTGAGCTGGCTCCCTGAGCTGCTTGAGGGAGAGTAGATTCTTGGAAACATGAGTGACAGGTCTCCACTCACTTGTTCACTGAGGCCCGAATGCACACCCGTGTCCCACTCCAGCCTTCCCATCTGGGAAATCTCGCTCCCTGCAGACACCATGCTGCCTTGACTGGGAATGGTGGGGGGCAGTGGGGAGTGCAATTTCAAAGTACAGGTGCTGCTGAGACTCAAAACCCTGCATCCAGCTGGCCCTTTCTATTTCTAGAGGGCCATTCTGGCCGCTAAAAGAGAAGAATATGCTGAAACGAAAATTGATCAAGTTATTAACTCCCTGGTATGACATGGGGATGTTTCCACCTCCACTCCACAGGCCTGCCGGGATGGCTTGGCCGCTTTCCCAGCCCAGATAGATGTCTTCCTCTTGCTTGCGTAAAGAGTCTGGGGGTACCCAAGAGCTGAGCCCTTGGGTGACTACAAGAAAGAAGTGAAGAAAATTTTTTTTTAAGTGACCAATGTTTGCAAGCAGAGACTTTCTTGCCTAGTTACACAGATTTACAGCTATTTTTGGTTTGCTCTTAAAAAGGCAAAGGACGGATGGCCTGCTGGGTGCCAATGTGCAGAAACAAACTCCTTCCTCAGCTCAGAGCTCAAAATACACCCGAGAAGGTTCTGCTCCTGCTGCCAGTGTGCAGAGTAGAGCCATAGAAGGTCAAAGTGTAGGAAGCCAGGGGAGCATCTTCACATCATATGATTCCTGGCGCACATGAACGTGTGGGTATTTTTGAAACAGCTTAACAACGCATTTCGGCTGGCTTCACTCTCGCACAATGGGATTAATATGTAATAAAATGATGTTTTGGCCATCTGCGAAGGAAGGTCATTTTCCACCAATTGGAGCATGCATCATAATCCCAAGGCAGCAAAAGCTCTGATGCGGGAAAGAAAAAAGAAAGTTGCTCTGGCATGATAAATTGGGCTGCTCTGGCCTGGCTGCCAAGCGCACACCACATTTCTCTCTAATACTACTCCGTAATCAGACCACTGGTGAACTGGCTAAATTCCCCTGCAGTTCTCTGGCTCTGACATCTAAGTGAGGCCATTCCCTGCGTGGGGAATGTTGGCAAGTTCTAACATTCTTGTCAGTCTTAAAGCTGGAGACTTTTCTTGAAAACAACCACCTCCCCTTCATTATTTTGGGCAGGTGAGCATGGGAGGAACGACTACAATTTGCACCGCGCAGTGCAGGAGCTGCTTTGAAAACCTCTGACTGATCCCAGATTACGTGAAACAAAGGCCCTTGGCTTTTAGACAGACCCATAACAGTGTGAATTTTCTGAAATTACAGCTTTAGGAAGAAACTAAAATCGCATGTAAACTTCAGAGCTACAATAGCACAGTCAGCACAGAGCAACACTTACAGAAATAAAAGGCATTTTGCAAATGCAGTTTAAAAGGAAAAAGAAAAAAGAAAAACAGTCATCCGCAAGGAAAGGCAGGAGAAAAATGGTAGCGATGAAAGGGAAACATTCAGAGAAGTAACTTCTAGGATCAAAGAACCTAATACAAAGCCAGCCGACTGCCCCTTGTACACATACCACAAAGAGGCAAAGAGCTTGCAGTTACATCATTTATCAAAAAATGGCTTTAAAAGCATGTCAATTTACTTCTAATGAGGCATGCTTTACCAGATCCCAATTCATTGAGAAGTCATGCTCCATTTCCATTTAGATATTTATCATACTTCTATTAAAAAATTAATGAGAACACCAATTCCCCAACCTGGTCTGGCTGGTGGGAATCTACTATGGCCTCTTGTCCAGCCTCTGGAGGTGCACAGGGCGCCCCAGGCTGGCCTCCACACACCCGGGGAGGCGGACAGGGCGCCCCAGGCTGGCCTCCACACACCCAGGCAGGGGGACAGGGCGCCCCAGGCTGGCCTCCACACACCCGGGGAGGGGGACAGGGCGCCCCAGGCTGGCCTCCACACACCCGGGCAGGGGGAGCAGGCGCCTCTCAAGCCACCCCCGGAAGCAACAGAGGACAGTGAACGGCTAATCCTAAATGGCCTGCTCTGAGAAGGGGATTTTTTCCATGTCTCTAGTTTTTGTTTTTAAATTACATGAGTTTAAAATTATTCTCCGTAATATGCCTATGTATGAACATTTTAGAGATTATTAATGCCGGAATAATTTAACACTGTCTCTCCCAGCAGGCAAAACTGACACACCATGAAGATGGTTTTAATCTTTAAAATCCTACAACACGAAAGACACAATCTGTTGCTGTGTGTGTGGCTGACCCGAAGGAACCCAGCAAGCAGAGGCATCCACAGAGGAGAAATTGGGATTTCTGCAGTCGCTGAGCCACACCCCCAGCCTGGCTTCTTCCCTAGAATTGTCTAAAAGAGGTGAAGTAGCCGTATGCACCTTACAGGGGTGCTGTGAAACTTAGACGAAGTAATAGCAGAGCTGGGGGCCCCAACAGAGGACCCCAGCTCAGTCCTGGGCACGCAGTAGGTGTTCAACAAACGTGAGCTGTCTACTCCTAACCTTGGCCCACCTCTACCCCCTCTCTCTCACACTCTACAGAAGACAAAGTTAAAAATGGAAAGGTAGCACGTTCTGACAGTAATCTACGGAATGCCACGACTAATCCCCACGAGTCAGTGACAGATACAACGCGGCGCTGCTGCCCGCGTCCGGCCACCGTCCTGCAGCGAGGGCTGGGCGGGTCTCTCACCCAGGGTCTGGCTGCAGTGAGGGGTGGCTCCTGACACCTCCTTCACCCACCACCCACGCTGCCACCCCCCACCGGGCCCAAGGAAAACTGGCACGCGTGGCGGGAGAACCAGGCGACCAGGTTTTCACAAAAGCAGCTACACGCCATCCCCGAAATAAAGAGTGACGAGGAGTCACGGAGAAAACACGCTGCTGCGGCGACACACTTCAGTTGCCATAAGAACAAAACAGCCTGTTAAAACACCCAGAAGGGTCCACTGAGGAAAATTCGCTCATCATTTCCTACTTCTATGTTTGGTTTATTTCTAAAATACAGTAATAACTAAATTGGCAAACTGAATTTAAACTCAGCCAAGCATACTTTCATGCTGAGTTTGAAAGAAAAACAAACCCCTGCAGCTGACCAAATTAGGGATCCGAGCACACCTTCGACTTTCGCCCGCCTCTTCTACAGAGGATCAGTCTCGGATTCTGACCAAGAAAAATGCAAAGACACTACGTATGGAGCTTCCCAGACGGCATCTGAAGCTCTGCCTGATACGACTGTTGAGAGTTTGACAAATAGGGCCGCACACACAAATGGCTCAGCATGACACGATGCACACAAAGTTCAGCAGTAAGTGGGTTGATGGTACTGATTATTATTAATACCACATCAAGTTCAAGTCCGCCCCCTGACTTCTAATGACACCTACCCACCCAACTCTCTATGCCATCAATCCCAGCAAAGACTCTCTCTCCTCTAACCCCTCCTGCCCACACTGCCCGCCTGCCTCCAGCTCGCGTGTCACACGCTCGGCCCGGATTCCACACAAAATAGGATCCAACCACGCTGATGCCTAGGCTGTTTAAAAATCAGAATATTTCACATAAAATCCCAAATGTATGGCTCTTCTAGAAAAATCTAAAAACAAGCAACAGAGAGGATCACACTCCCAACAGGACAGCAGCACCTGCTGAGACGGGCCCCGCCAAGCCCACTTCAGTGGCTTGCTTCCCCCGCTGGCTCTCGGTTAGGGATCCTGACCCTGTGCATACAGTGGGTCAATCACATCGCAGTTCAACCTTCTCTTCCCTTCCATCACAAGCACCTGCGAGTGCCTTTCTGCGCAGAGCCAGTGACCTCAGGAAACCTCCTCTTCTTGCTTCCTGAATTACTACAAATGAAATACAGCAAGTTCACAACTCCTTCCCTAGGCTCGACACGGCCTCACACACCTGCCTCTCAGCTGGGAGTGTGTGTGCCCTATCGATACACAAACAGTGGCACTGTGGGCTTCTAGCCCACCGTGAAAGTTTTAACTGTGAACAACACGAGGCTGCTACAGTACATTTTTTCCCCAGTTAAGCTGTTCTGAATTCATACAATGCAATTAAATAAATCACTACAGCATAAGAACAAGTTTTCAAATCGCTATTTTAAAAGATACCTCATTGATAAGCCATGCTTGGCAACTGATAACCACATCCAAGGAAACATGGGACACAGTGGATAAAACAGGACTCGGACTCTGAGGACTCTGGTTCCAGACCCAGCATCGGAACTCACTGGCCAAATGATGGGGGTGATTCAGCTGGCCTCTTGGGACCAGATTTTATATTTGTTTTCAATATTTCCTATGGCTTTATAGATGCTTTTGAATATTCTGAGTACTCTCAAATAACATTACATTGCTAGTTGATTTGAGGCATCATTCTGAGACCATTCTGAGTATATAAAACTTTTTAAATGAATCGAATATTTAAAAATTAGATGTTATGGGCTCTTTAATAGCCAATTCGTGTTTTTTATAACTTTTCAAACTAGAAATGAAGCCACCGAAGTATCTTACAGGGTTGATGTTTGCACGTCGTTGGTTGGAGAAACTCACACAATAGCAGAGAAACTGACAGCGCCTGGTATAAGTGCGCTGCTGCATGCCTGCTGGGCGGGCATGGCCTCTTCCTCACCATGCCTACACGCAAGCTTCTAGAGACCCATGTCAAGGCAGCTGGGGAGGGGGTAGACTGTCATCAACTTTACAACTCCTAACTTGGGCTTTATCAAGGCAGACGGTTCTGCATGGCAGACCACCATATGAAACTCATCTTCCCTCTATCTGGAGGAATCTCGCAGCCCAGTGGTGGTGTCTGGCTAGGGAGAGAAGAGGTCTCCTGTGTTGTGAACTCTGCACGGAAAAGCTACACAAAGGCAACTGATTATGAGCTGCGGTCTCAAACAGAATCACACGAAGAAGGCACGCACCAGGTCGATCAGGTCGCTGAGGTTCTTCTCGATCTGCTGTGGAGGCAGGCGCCTCATGAGGTCCAAGGCACAGTCCAGCTGCTGATCACTCTGTGGACAGAGAGACAAAAGTACATAAGTCATTTCTGCCAACAGGAATACCAAAAACTTCTTTTAAAAGTCATGCTTGCCCAGGGTGTTCTAAGACCCAAAGAGCCCTGCAACAGGCCCTCTCCCCGGCCTCCGGGAGCCCGTGGCCTGGAGGGGGACTGCTATGCAGGCTGTCTGCTCCCCCTTCGACAGCAGTCTCTCTCTCTCAAGTGGGGGCATCCAAAAGACCCTGGGAAGCAGACTGGAGAGTTCAGAAAGCTGCCTCCTCTGCCTTCCTGCTCCTGCAGATTATTAACTCCCAGCTGGCCCTACCATAAGCATTCTCAAGCAGCAGATTAGGTTCACGTTTTGTTGTAATTTGGGTATAAACATCAGGCAATATCGCCAGCCCAGGTTCCCTGATCAGCTCCAAGCCAGGGGGGAAAGCCAGGCAAAGAACGAGTGGCAAGACACAGAGGTTAAAAGTGCGTCACTCATCCAGTGGAAGCTTCATAGATGTCCCCAGGCCCTGAGCAAACCAGCCTGAGCCCTACACCACAATACAGTCCAGAGCTCACTCTAGCTGGCAGAAGGGACTACAAGAGCAATAAACTGTGTCACTGCTGCCACAGGGGAACTGGAAGCACAAAACTACCCTCGTTAATGAGGACCTTTTTAGAGCTATGCATTGTGCACTTCACAATACTCTCCTCATTCAGTATTTACGCTGCAAATATTTACCAAGTACCAACATGTGCCAGTCACCATAAATATATAAAAAAAAAATGCAAGGAGGGAAAGAGGAAATTGAGTGGGAGCAAGACTAGTAAAGTGCAAAGTAAACTCAGTGCATGGCAGTGATAATGCAGAAGGCTGAGCTCAGGAGGAGCAGAAGTAAGGAGAGAAAGGTAGGCCAGGTGAGACAGTGAAGACCTCCGTGTGCGGCTCTAGAAGTGCAGGAGACCACAAGGAAGGCAGATGGAGTCAAAACTACCAGTCAGAGGCACTGTCCGATTTGTATGTGGAATCTCTCCTCAGACCAATTTCGGGATTTTTGAAAGGCCTGAATCAACATACCAAAGAGTCTCATAAAATATACGACATGATCCTCGAAACGCCACATTCAGCCATAATGAAATACGACCTGCGAACATCATCATCTACATTCCAGGTCTACTAACCACAAGCAGGTCTCGGGGCAAGGACCCACTTTACAGTCACCAAAGACATACCGCATAGTTAAGTGCAGTCAGTTTCATTCCCAGATACTGATATGGCATATATAGCAGGCTGTTTACAAAAAAAAAAAAAAAAAAAAAGCTTGTCCCTTGCTCAAAAGTTATAAGTGACAATTCATTCTGGGACACACAACAAACTGGCTATCCTGCAAAGAAGAAGAAAAAAAAAAAAACCAAAAATACCACACCAGAAACCCTATCACTTGTTTCACTTAAAGATTCCAGGGGCCATGAATTCCCTACTTATGCCACACAGCTCTGTGCCAACATGTGTCAGCCAAGGCCCCGGTGACATAGGTTTGGCCTGCTGGCATGGGAAGGAATTTTAACACCACGCCTAGTGTAGAGCACACAGATAAGCTGATTGGACTCTAAAGAGACACGCTCAATTCCCAGTTCTGCCATTCATTAACTTGTAACTTTGGGCAAGTTTCTTAACCTCTACAAGCCTCTATGTATCCATAAAATGGGAATAACTCTATATCACAGAGTCGTTACAATAATTTGGTAATGCACGTGAAATGTTTAATACACAGTAGTATGTTCAATGATTGGGGTGTCAGGTGTGTGAATGGAAATACACATACAGGTTTTAAACACACACACCCTCCCAACCCCCACCAGGAGACATCTGGCAATGTATGGAGACATTTGTGGTTGTCACTAGTGGGGGAGAGAAGCTAGTGGCATCTAACAGGGACACCGCTCTCCATCCTACAATGCAAAGCAAAGCCTTCCCACAACAAAGAATTACCTGGCCTAAAATGTTCATAGAGTTAAGGTGGAGAATTCCTGGCCTAAAAACAATCATTTTAGGGGGTTGCAAACTCTCAGAAACTGACCAAAGATAAGGACTGTCTCTCTAGAAAACTGCACAAGCAGAGAAGCATTTTTATATGTAACTCTGAATCAAAGACCACTCATAATATCTAAAACCTTCTGGTCTTTGGAAAATATCTCAACTAGGTATTAATAATCCTCTTCAGAATTGAACAGCAAGCTTAGATATAATTAGATAGTTAATTTGAAACTGTAATCCAGAACATACCGGGATTCCAAAGGGACTAACTAGAAACCGAGCAGTGTTATCTAGGAAACGAAAAGACATAACTTGACCAGAGTAGGTCAACGTGAAAAGACGCTGTTTTAACCCTTCCATGGAACCTGTTCACACCCCCAACCCCAATATGCTGATCACATCCTCACCCCTTCCGGAAAGTCTTCTGCCAGACTTTATTATCTAGTTGACAGCACTAAAATACCATCGTAAAATGATCTGACTCACATTTTGCATTAATCCCAATTAATCTTAATTGGAAATGTTTCACTACAAATTTGTAGGGCTAAGGATGTTTACCTATCATTAAGTTAGGAAATGACTAAATGCTTCCCCTAAGTGAAGCAATATGGGAAGGCTTAATGACAGCTTGTAAAAAGTTAAAATTAGAGTTAACTGGAGCCATTCGCTCAGGAGTCATCCCAAACCCTAAGGGGTCCAAACAGGAAACAGCACAGGGGAAGGAAGAAATGTGGATTACCTACAGCCACATACAGCACCATGAGCGACCCTGGAAACAGAACGATGGGGGTGTGGGGTTCCCCCAAGGGACTACCTATGATGCCGCCACTTTATAAAGTTCAGTAACAAGCAAAAAATTTTATTGCCAAAAAAAATCAGTCCTCAGAAGGCTGTCATCCTAAAAGTAAAAAAAAAAAAGAAAAAGAAATATCCCTTCAAGTAAACTCTCTATTATTTATACGTGTATTTTAAACTAATATAACAAGGCTTTTTTCTTTCCTTTAAGCCAAGACAAGAGAATATAAACACAAAATCCAGAAGAGAAGAATAGTTACAAGAAAGCTACCAAGGGAAGATGAAAGTTGGCATTTGTTTAGGTCTTACATGGAATGGTAGATTCAAGGGTATTCATTGCATCATGATGCTTAATACATATGTTAATATGCTCCTTTATAATTATTTGATATTGAAACCTTTTTTTTTTTTTGAGACAGAGTCTCGCTTTGTTGCCTAGGCTAGAGTGAGTGCCGTGGCGTCAGCCTAGCTCACAGCAACCTCAAACTCCTGGGCTCAAGCGATCCTTCTGTCTCAGCCTCCCGAGTAGCTGGGACTACAGGCATGCGCCACAATGCCCACTAATTTTTCTATATATATTAGTTGGCCAATTAGTTTCTTCTATTTATAGTAGAGACGGGGTCTCGCTCTTGCTCAGGCTGGTTTCGAACTCCCGACCTCGAGCAATCCGCCCGCCTCGGCCTCCCAGAGAGCTAGGATTACAGGCGTGAGCCACCGCGCCCAGCCTGATATTGAAACCTTTTTAAAGGTAATAGAGAAAAACACAAACAAATGCAAGTGAGGAGAGGACTTAGGATTCAGAGTCCAGGGCCCAAGGTCTGCCCTGTCACTAGATGTCTGTATGCCTTAGGCTGCCCACTTGACCTTATGGTCTCGGATTTGGATGAGATGGCCTTCAAGATTCCTTCTAGATGGACTGTGTCTTCTAACCTACTGCAAGAGCAGATACACCCCCTAGGCCCAATTCCCTCACCTTTCAACAAGACCATCGGCCTGGATCCAGCCCACTGGGGGCCAGCAATTGCCCTACACGCTGACAACTGTGCATGGCATGGGGTGCCCCACCCCATGGGCCCCACCAATGAGACCAAGAGGAACCAGCTGTCCATAAAACAGTAGATAACCACAAGGCTGCGTGTGATGTACAATGACAGAACACAGAAGGCGCAAAGAGACAAGGCACAGCTCACAATACACTGATTTGTACTTCTTTTTTTCCCCCTTTCTCTCTCTCTCTCTCTCTCTCTCTCTCTCTCTCTCTCTCTCTTTTTTTTTTGCCTAAAGTTCCCACATAGGATGATTTGTACTTCTTTGTGTCAATTATTTTCCTAGGATTTCCCTCCACCATGGTTACCTCCCTGGCTGGCTTTCTATTTATTTTGTAAACTGGTTGCCTGTGACTTAGAGCTCTCCACATCTAGCTCCTTCAAAATGCTAACTGATCCTAGAAACTTCCATCATAAAACGCACTTTACCAGTTCTACCTCTCACTGGTGGTGTTTTCCAGGTTGAAAGGTAAATAGGAAAAGAATGACCATTTTGCCTCACCCTCCAGAACTCCCTGCCCATTCAGTTAGTCATTCAGTAATTATTCATTGAGTGTTTCCTAGGTAACAAACACCGGTTTTGATGCTAAATGGTGAACATTAATTTCCTGGTCTTCACAGAGTTTATGGTGCAGTCAAAATCAATATGGAAAAATATCAAGAAAAGGTCCTTGTTAGGATGTCGAAGAATAAGGAAGGGATGGTTATCCCACTTTAAGCTGATGAGGTTCCAAGGAGTAGGGTTAGGATTCGAGCTGTGGTTCGGGGGTAGGGGGAGGGGTGGTATATGAACTGAGGTAGGAAATGTTTCACTTTCTGCTGGATTTTCCACATTATTTAAAGAAAAAGCACAAAACTGTTTAAATCACCCTGCAACAAGTCAAACAACTGTTATTACAGACTAGAACAATTTTTCAAAATAAGTCAAAACACTACATTCTAAAGTATCTGCTGAAGAGTTCAGACACCCGATAGCGCTGTCAAATCATCTGCACACAATAAAACGTGGCCTATGAAACTAAAAGGGCAAAGTCTGGTTTGGAAACCATGATCCAATGAGAAGTGTTCTATCCCTGCATGGGATGTGAAGAGCAGGACAGGTCCCAACAGTGGTCAGCTCTGCATTTAGTACAACAAACACAC